AGATTTTGGAGGCCATACAGAATCGTTTCGTCGATGTAGTAAGTCGCACTGTAAAAGAATTCACAGTTAATAAAGCGATTACATAAACTTGTCGTAACTAAGAGTAATATTTTATCTATCCTTGCGTTTCGACTGCCGAAACACAGATAAAAAAACATATTAATAATTGAGGTGACTCGATGATAGTGAGAACTAATAAAAAGAAATCAAACTGGCAGTTCCTGAGAACTGTGCACCAATAAAACTAAAACATATTCGTTAGCTTTATTTCATTATTAGCTACCGTTCGTAACTTACTCCCCGTCTAATGAAACAATCTTACTAACATTATGAATGCCAATGTTTGGATGGATGGATGGATGTTTGTTTGAAAGTATCTCCAGAACGGCTGCATACATCTTGCTGAAATTTGACATAGCTGTAGAATACAGTTTGGAAGAATATGTGGACTTGGACTTATAACAATATCTTATCTTACTTCTTACTAATATTTTAAATTCGAAAGTTAGATGGATGAATGGATGGATGGATGTTTTTTTGAAGTTACCTCCAGAGTGGCTGCATGGTTCTTGCTGAAATTGGGTATATATGTAGAACACAATTATGAAGAACACATAGGCTACTTTTTTATTTTATAGTTTTTTTTTTGCAATAACAGCTAGTTATTTATAAAAATGCGATTTACCTCAATCCCATGCCATTATAGTAGTAATTCACTGGTGGTATTCTGACAGATTCCAAAGATAGCACGGGGAATGAATCTTGCTCCTCTCCAGATGTTTGCGGTTTTTTCAAATAATTAAATATGTTCTCAAAGGCATCGTTATCTGAAATCAGAAAATGTACAAAAAAACTATAATTCAATCTAGTTTTAATTAAAAAAAAGGAAAATATTAGCATACAAATCAATGAAACATGATATTTTAGAAGTGTTTTTTTTTCAAAATTGGAACATAGCGTATTCTTTTTTTCTTAAATTTAATGGCCGGAATCTAGCCAATAAATAAATATTAATTTCGTTTCATTTTAAATATTTTAATTTATGTTAACTTTGTCTTAACAAGTAAATATTTAAGTAGACTACAACAATCTTACCCTGACACTAATCTAAAGAGCAATTACCATTACCTTGACTTGGTTCTTATTTCTTATTTAATAAAGATATAAAATTGTAGCGTGCGATTGCATACGAAATAGGAATTTGAATTTGGAATTATTTATTTCAATCAAATTTATAGGCATTTCGTCGTAAATAAAAAGAACATTTACATGTTTTCATACTAACATATGTTATGTTTTTTCTTCCACGTTTTAATAAAGTTAGAGCAATTCTCCCCAAGCGAGGGGCTCGGCGCCTACCCAAGTGAAGGGTGATTAGGCCATAGTCAACCACGCTGGCCAAGTGCGGGTTAGTTGACTTCACACATATCTTTGAATTTCTTCACAGATATGTGCAGATTGCATCACGATGTTTTCCTTCACCGTAAGAACGTAGGACTAATGTACATATGTAAATCAGAAATCGAAAAACACATTGGTACATGGCGGGATTCGAACCCAGGACTTGCAGATTGCAAGTCAAGTGCTTGACCCCTGAGCCACAGACGCTCTAATTATATATAGATGAGTTTAAAAACTACTTACATGATACATATCCATCTGCCGCAAAAACAAAAACAAAATTAAAGCAATACGACACATTGTATTGCAGAAGACGGCAAGCTGCCTCAACAGACTGAATACTATCATCAGCCCTACACCACATTTATAAACCCCAATTATTTACTTTAGTTATCCCTACAATTAGGTTATATATCATGATTCATATTCTTATCTAATAAATACGCTTCCGCAAATATTTTTGCAAGAACGTATAGCGTTATCATTGATTTATTTCCTCGGTATTCCCAAAGCCTTTGTACATTTTGGGATTACCGAGCAAATGTAAATACATTCGCACATATGATTGCGCCAATTTAAAACAACGAAAATTGAACCACCAATTATATGAACAAGACGGATTCCAAGGAAATGACACGTGTTATACGAAATTATATAAACGTCACTTGATATAAGTATATATTGATATCCCTTTTCTTCTATTTGAAAAAAATAGAGACAACAATACAAATGAAGTAAAAGAGTCACTGCACTCGAAACCTACAGTATTGAAAGAAATAAACATATCATAAAATGCTTTATCTTTTTCCGCCATAAAAGTAATACATAAAAGTAATAACGAAGGATTAATCAATTAATAAATTTAATAATAAAAATGAATTATGAATGATTTTCACTACATTCAAAGTCATCATCTTACTAATATCATAAATGCGAATGTATGGATCAATGGATGCGTATGTGAAGGTATCTTCAGAACGGATCGCGAAGAAGTTTGACATGGATGTAGATATTCTAGAGATATAGTCTTGCCGAAATCCGACATAGTCTGGAAGAACACAAATGTTATTAGATTTTTTTAATTCAACAGGGACGCAGACGCGGGTGTCAGCTAATATTATAATACCATGTATGAAATGAGCCAATACATGGAAAGACGAATGAGCCAAGACTTGGAAATTTTTCTAAAATTCTGGTTTTGTGTCTTTTCATCCTGCAACGGATTAAAAACACGTTAGTGTTTTAATACTAATATAAATTTAAGTTAATTTACATGTTCCTTAAATTAATATAGAGTTGAGTTAAAAAAAAACTTACGCAATGCTTGTCCTTCTGTGGCCAAAACAAACGAAAATAAAATCAAAGGAAGACGACACATTATAAATGTAAGAAGACAACGAGCTGTCTCGACAGACTGAATCTTATCATTGGCTCTGTACCACGCTTATATACCTTAGTTATTTGCTTTAATATTAAACCCTTTAATTAAAATAAATAATTGCACAATTTTCTTTTCTAATCTCGATTCGATGACGCGTTTAAAATTCCTTACTAATACCAACAACTAGAATATGTAGTTTAAAGATTACAATAGCTGACGAATTCAAATTTAAATAAACTTATTCAGTTAAATAATGAAACAAAAAAGTGTTATAAACTTCCATGTTTCTAATCTGAGGGTCTATCTTGAATAATTGCTATATGCGTTTTCGTGGTCATCGACAAAACATGTCAAAACTTGTATAACATTTGTTGGTCCATAGGAGTGCAGTACAAATCTAACAAAAATTGTTGTGGACGATACGAATTCATTTACACGAATTTTCCTGCTAGGATTATGATTGCGAATTGATATTCGTGTTTTAACCTCCAAAAACTATAAGAGTTGTATAATTTAACTGAACAAATATAAAAAATATTTATGAGTTAACTTGTGAAATAACTTCTAAACATTACAATCCGCTTTGTATTTGGTTACAGGTGATAAGATAAATTACAAAGAGCATTAACAGAATTTGTTAACGAACTAAACCATTCGCGTTTCAAAACGAGGGCTTTTAGAATTGTCTTGAATAATAGCCTGTACTAAAAGTCGATTAGAAACTTATTACTTTGCTAGCATCGACATTTTTAATACCAAATTCATGATGACATTAGAATATTTAATAAAAACTGCCTTTCGACTAAAAAAGTATTATCAAAATCGGATCACCAGGAGCGAAGTAATTTGGTACACATAAAAATACAGACGTATTGAGAAACCCTTCATCTTGAAGTCGGTTAAAATAATTTCAAAACTGACAATTTTGACAGTTAATTCTGTACAGCACTGATTTCTATAATGGAAAGGGGATTGCTTGGAAGTAATAGCTTTTGCTTCGTTCCCATTTGAATGCTCCTGTTGATGTTACGTTACAGTTAATTCTATTAATATTATTAGTTCGAATCCACACTATTGCTACAAACTGCGACCATCAGAGACAAAATGGCGAAAATCAATTTGGCACAAAATATTACTCTTAAAGCCAGTCACACCAACTGTGCGCCATCTACCGGATTAAAAAGTCAAATTGTCGCCGCAATGTTAACATTAATGAATGTTCAGATATCGTGGTCGCAATCTTTATTGCATTACTCACGAATTCAGTTAAATTCACTTTAACGCAATCAAAGCGACCGTGACATGAGATAAAGACGTTTTATTCATCATTCTTCCTAATAATATAAATGAGAACGTTTGGATGTTTGTTAGAAGACATCTCCAGAACGGCTGCATCTATCTCGCTAAAATTTGACATAAATGTAGAACATAGCCTGGAAGAATACTTCTTCCACATCTTTCGAAAGAAGTGGCAAAAAAAACAAGCTTTGGTTTTCTTACATGGAATAATACACAATGAATCGGTATAAAAAGATTCAAACTTATGGCGTGAGACATTATAAGGCTAGTGTTTGCAGAACGCGGATAGGCGTTTGCCTTTTACGTCCGGACAAACTAATAAAGTATTGCATCGTTTCGTAGCAAAATGCGAATCTCAAT